GCAATAGGTTAGAGGGCCCAAAGACACAAGACAGCGAAAAACACAAAACAAAACCGAAAAAAACATCAAGATTTGTGCGTATCATTCCTTTCAACTACAACAACGTGGTACACTGCAAGATTTGTGCGTTTCATTCCTTTCAACTGCAACAACAAGGTTTGTGCGTTTCAATCCTTTCAACTGCAACAACATGGTACACTTCAAGATTAGTGCGTATCATTCCGTTCAACTGCAACAACATGGTACACTTCAAGATTTGTGAGTATCATCCAGCAAACTTCAAAAGAAGCCCTATGACTCCAAGGGTTACACACACACACACACATCTAGCCGAGTTTTTCCTTTTATCTTTTTTCGCATCTCAGGAAGTGGTCTGCAGCCTTTCGAAACCTCAACTTGCTCCCCGCCTATGGCGCCGTCTCCGGCGAAGGTGCTGCGTCGCCCAGCTCGCCGGGCCGCGGCGTGGCGTCGCCGGGAGGCTTTGCCTTCGGGGCCTTCGGCGGAGCATCGGTGGGCGTGGGGGCACTGGAGCCGAAGGAGCGGAACCCCAAGGGAGCCGAAGGGAGCCGAAGCAAACCAAGGCAAACTGGGTTTGGAAGCAGGTGGTTCAGGTGGTTAAGGGAAGGTGGTGTTGTAAGACAACACTTGTTTGGTACATGCACACCGTCACCCTGCTCAATTAATGTTTTGCAGGATTCGGTTGGTCTGAGACTTCCAAGACCAATCTGGTTGGTAAACCATCGATTTTCATTTTACAGGCCAACGGAGACTTGTGCTGGTCACCATTGGTCCATGTGTAGTTGGACCATGGTGCGTAGACGGCCATGGTGCTTCGCATGGCCCATTTGTTGCCTTTTCAGTGACATTTCCTTCAACAAATCTTTCCTACTACCATGGTATTTGCTTTGTTTCCTTCTATATACACATTTCCTTACAACGCGATCTATGAGGGATCAGCGGGATCGAGAAAGGTCAATCCGGTTGAAGATCTCGAGAGTTCCGCCAGGACGACGCACTGACGGAGACACGGTTGAACTCGCTGCTGGCTGCAGTGGAGGGAAACAGCAGTGGGGAACAGCGCCTGGAGCAACGCCTGATGACAAGATGCTGTGTGGTGGTGTTGAAGGCTGTGGATAGCAGAAATGAGTGCTTGCTTTCTCCCCGATGCAGTCTAGCAACTAACATAACTCCATGTATCACTCCGGTAGCTTGTTCCATATTATATTGTTCTACCCAGGCGCGACACAAGTGGCACTTGGAAAGATGGACGACGGATGAGTTTCAGCTCTACCGGGTAGTGCGCGGACACATGGTGACACCCCCAGCGGTGCAGGAGAACCGGTCCACCGTAGGACCTTCAAACACCTTGAACAAGCCGAGTCTGAGTACCGTTTGATCAACTAATTTTGTTGAGCACGTTCTAAGGTTTCCATGTTTTCATTGTTCAGTGGATGTCAACACCGTTTGGTCTTTGAATGTTGGCTGGAAATTCCGGGCCATCCCATCTACTTCCGTTTCCGTGAAAAAGTTCTGCCCCCCCAGAAGTTGCAGGTACATCTTCCGGAAGAGCAGAAGGAGCACTTATCGTTGCTTTGCTACTTGAGAGCCTACTACGCAGTGGCGGCTTGGGAGGAGGGCGTTCACTGGGTGAACAGCCATGGGAGTTTGATGCATCTCTACTGTGACACGGCCATTCTGGGACTTCGGATCGCGCTCAGGACTTCGGATCGCGTGGAGTTTGTCGTGGTGTTGGAGACCAGTCCAGAAGGCCTCAGAGTCATACTTCTATCAATTCAGTGGTGTTCTCCCTGATTCTGGAGAAGTGGTCAGTCAACCTCACGCTGGGCTATTTTGTCCAACATATGGGTCTGGTCCGGTCCAAAGGATCAGGGGTTCCACGGGTTTAGTCGGGTCGTGGACGATTCGTTGGAAGGTCCGGTTCTATTTTCAGACTGTTTACCGCGAATTGACACGACTGAAAAAAGACACATTACCAGTTTTGGCCTCTTGCATACCCCAGCAATACTAGCTCTGAGACTCCTTGAGAATCGGCGGAGAATCCAGCCCCAAAATCCAACCCAATGACCTTCACAGCCACATGTAGCTTGAATCCGTGACGACCCCTGCAGGATGCAGAGGTTGGCCTTTGAGTTCCCCAATTGGGCGGCAGATGGCATTGAGAAGGATCTGGAAAACTGCGAGACAACCTTCAAAATTTCTGGAGGAATGGAGGTGGGTCTGAGGAACAAAGTGGCCCGGGCCCGTCCCCGTTCCCGGGTGGCTTAGGGAAATCATGGGTGTCACGAGGCAAACCGGAAGGCTTGAGAGGGACCTACTTATTTGCATCACAGATGTCCCGGAGGAGTCCCAGGAAGCAGCAATCAAGGGACGCTTTCTATATAGCTAGTAATTTGTGCTCCGGACATCTCCGGACTACAAAAGGTGACACAGAATGTTCACGTCACATAACTACAAATCCTGCGTTCCCGGCAACTTTGAATTTGCAAAAGCTGTCCCAAGCTGCCCAGAGTAGACCCCTGTAACTCGCCCACATAGAACAGACGGGGTTTCGGCTGTCGGGATAGCCATGTTTGATGTCCAACACAATGCACATGTTCGCCAGATACCTCAACAAATGAATCCTGATGTAACGCAACCTGCCACTTCCTCCCCCCGCAGGTGGGCTCGGTGATCCCCATGCGCGGCGACCTCTTCGGCGAGCCGAACGCCGCGGCGCTGCAGTGGGCGGCGGCGGCGCCGCCGGGGCAGCTCTGGCTGAGCAGCGGCGCCTGTGCGGCGGGGCTGGAGGATTTGGAGCTTCGAGACGTGGAAGAACAGGTGCTGAAGACTTTCATTTGTTTTTTCTAAGGCAACAGACCTCCAGCTTTTCCAGCTTTCGCTTTCGATGGGTTCGCTTCTTGAGGAAAGCTGCGAGATGCAGGCTGCATTGAGCTGGCACAGAAGACAGAGCAAGGTCAGGGGAGTGTGGGGATATGGAGGTGAGAGAACACGACGGAGTATACTCTCTGGAGGGCCCATGTTGGTTGATGAAGAGGATCATTCTTTTCGTACAAAGAAACGGCCCGGGCCCCACCCATTTGTTGAGCAGCTGAAGCACACTTTCTTTCTTTCGACTACAATACTTCTGACCCTCACTGGTTACTGTCATCTCTGACCCTTATGATGGATGGTCCTTCCGATTGAAGCAAGGCCCACAAGGTGAGGTCCGATCAACACCCTCAAGAAGGCTATTCAAGGAAGCTTCCCTCGTTCATTTGTGGGACGTCCGATCGATCCAGAGGAGAGGGTTGGCAGTTTGTCGTCCAAATCGCACCTCAAAGCTCCATGAACTATTTGCACTTACTTATCTCAGTAAGGTAGACTACGTACTGTCTGCAAAAATAAGGGAGCATTACTCCTTTTGGGTGTGGCTTTAGCACCAGTCAAGAACTCATTCCTGCTTGTCCACACGTCCCAAAATTCCCGATCCTTCGGTCATCCTTCGGTCACCCTTCGGTCATCCCGAAGCGCTTTCGGTCATCCAGAGGTGGCAGCTGCATCTCCGTGGAGGTCTCCGACTCGCTGAAGCTCAGCATTCCCATCGTCCGCGCGAACCCTCCGGGGCTCGAGGCCTCGGTGGAGGCGCTGGGCGGCGCCGAGGCGCCGAGGAGCCAAGGGAGCTTCGTGGTGTCCTTCTACGCGCGCTCCGTCGGGGTGGAGAGTCGTGCCTATCGACGCTTGGCGAAAGAGGAAGGAGAGAAGCAAACGGGTAAGTATGGAGCGAACTGGGACAAGGGCAGAGAGGGATGGATGGGTTGGATGGGTTGGGTGACAGATAACATGGAGTGACATCAGGTAGCAGGGGAGTTTCGTTTGGCAACTGAATTGGTACCCATATGGACAGCTGGGAGAGTCGAGAGGAAGCCTAGTTCCTTAGTTCCTTGGGCTTGTTCGAAGGGCTCATACCTTAGCTCTCACAGACTGGTTTTGGTGAGTTGGTGCGAATTCGTTTTCTTCAGTAACGGCAGAATTAGTTGCTGGATGATGTCTGGAGAGAACCGGTTTTGGTCCTTCTTTTGCTCAGTGTTTGACTTGTGGAACAGACCGGAAGACCGGAAGACCTGCAGACCTGTGGAGTCTTAAAACTTCTGTGACATCGACTCGGCGAAGTTCGTCCGCCCAAGGAAAGCCGATCCAAACCTTGCGTCTCTTGCTGAAGTTCCGCGATACCGTACGCCTGGCTGTGAGTCGAGCACAAGGCGTGCGGACCAGTGAGGGGTGGCCCAGGGAAAGGAGGACGGCGGGATACCCGACGGGGCCAGGATTCCTGGCCTAGGCACCAGCTGTGACTCTGAACGTGGTGACATTCATTGAATTTTCACTTCGAGGTAAGAGCTTCAGATTTGTTTTTTCTGCCCTGGACTCCAGGATGACTAAAGTCCTTTGTGCTTCTACAGGCAGATCGACCCGAAGAACTCCACACCAAAAACATGAACACCTTGCCTTGTTTCCTGACATAATTGTCCAAATCCAAGGAGCAACTCCACTGTAAAACGGACCCAAGCACAGCTGTTTCTCTCCTTGGAATAGTGTCATGTGAACCTGAGCCTGGCATGCCATTTGCGCCGGGATTTCGAATCCGACACTGGAGGTGAGGTCTGCTGGTGCCATGGCCAACACCTCTGCGCTCTCTTTGAGACCTCCGAGGCTGCGGTGCTTTGCGCGGACGAGGCGCAGAAGGAGATGGCGCTGCACAATGCCACGCGGAAAGGCGATGTGCAACTGGGGATGCTTTTTTGCAAGTGTGGCATGGGATGGCGCTTTTAGAGTCAAAAGCAGTCCATTTGGGGGACATGGGTCAATGTGTGTCGAGTCAAAGCCCATGACACCCTGACCAAACACCCCTCATGACACATCAAAAAGATGAAGAGAAAAGTCCACTGAAATGAGGATACGATATGAAACGATCACAACCAACACTATGGTCCAGTTTTTTCCCTGCTTTGTTTTCCGGCCATCCATGACTCTTTCCAGACGAGAGCGGAGAGGCCCAGGGATCCATGTCGAAGATTTGGGGTGAGTTTTACAGGTTGAGTAGCCGGGAGTCTTCGGCATACTGCGGCATACCCAGGCATAACACGGAGAACCACGGAAAACGATGCATATGCACTTCAGCCCGGCCTCGCCCACACCGACGTCGCTGAGGATGGTTTGCGCCTGCGACTTCGGCGACGTCTTCTTGAACGGACGCGACTTTGGGGGCCCGACGCTGTGGCGTGCGCAGACGCTGGCCGAGGCGACTGGTTTTGGCTCTGAGCCTGCGCGGCGCGACTGGAAAGATCCACACGTTGGCCGATAGAAATATGGAGCTTGAGATAGGGTTTATATAAAGTCCTTGTGGATTATATAGACGTTTGTGCTTTTGCATCTGAATTGAATCACACAACACCATTTAGGTTCCAAGCAAGTCCAAAGACACTGTCTGTCTTCCGCCCACTTCGCTGAAAACAGCCCCTGATTAATCTTTTTACAGTAAAGTCCCATTCTGACTCCCCTTCCTGCCAAACACGGCAGTTACGAAGGACCAGCCGAATCGGGCCCTCTGCCTTTGCGAGGCCGGGAAGCTGGGCGAGATCCTGGTGACCTCGGAGGTCCTCAACACCGAGGACACAGGGAGGGTTTTTCTGAGACACGAAGCGCCCCATGCCGAAGGGTGGTCACGGAGTCACGGAGTTTGGTTTCAAAGGCGGACCTTGGAAGCGGACTTCGGAACCAATAGAGCTATAGTGGACTTCCCTTTACTGCGGGGATGGGCTTGGGTTGTTAGACTTTTCGAAGTGATGGAACTTCCACACTCATGGACTTCCTACAGTCAATTGTTAACGTAGGTGCACGGTGCACTTGTGGAAAAAGAACATGAAATCTTGGATTCCTCACTTTGCAAATCAAGTTTTCTGTGCAAATCAGGTTATCATTAAGTTATCATCTCGTTCTGAGAAACTGCTTTCGACATCAAACACCGTCTCAAATCATTCGCGTTGAGACTCGGAACCGTAACCAGGACTGGACCACTTCCGCGCCCCACGTGGAGCTCTCAGCGACTCGTGATTGCTTGGGTGCCTGGGCGGACGTGGGCGGTGGGGGCCTGGTGAGGGGTGATGTGACCGGGCGGTAGGGGAGGTACCACTGGCACGAAGAGTGCGACCTGGATTAGTGAAGAGTGCGACCAGTTGGTGTCTCGTCAATCGTCAGGAAGAGTGCGACCATTGGTTTTCTGAAGGCGCAGAGCGAATTGATTCGAAGCCAGGGTGTGAGCCACCAGCCACAGCAGCATGTTCGCTTGATTTGTTCCTCCCAGCTCTCCGAGTCTCTCAGGTGCCACAGGACCCGAAGATTACATTCACTACAGCGCGGTGACGGTTCTCAGCACTCCCATCTTCCATGACCCCATCAGCTGAGCTGACATCGTGCCCTCCTCCGGGCCAAAGTGCCCGAGGGAGCTCGGAGAACCAGAAAAGGACGGAGCAACCACGGGAGGTTTTGAGTCTTGACAGTGATGATGGAAGACATCGTACCATATCGTTGTTTCACGCAAAAATCCAAAGCGAGTGCATCACTGGTCCCACCGTACACAAGAGATGGACCGGCCGTCCATCCCTCCCAGCTTCGTTTTGAGGTCTGAACACAAGAGCAGGTACATATGCATAGACTGCATAGATTCCAAATGAACAAGGCCACTGATGGACAAGATTCTACCGATTTGGAACAACGCTGCACCATCGAACTCATGTGTCGACCCTCCGACCCGGTGATCGATGTTCCAATCGAAATCTGCGGAAGGAAGGAATAGGAATAGGAATAGGAATAGGAATATTAGGAATAAATAGGGAACACTTTGACGATCGCTCCTTATTTGTGTATCCAAGGTGGCTTCATGGAGAGGCCATACTTTTTGTTGTGGCCCCAAAACAGATTTTGAACAGCACGGAAATGTGAACACCCTTTCGAAGGTGCATTAAGACTGGTGGTTTTTTCCGTTCTTTTTCCTTTGACCCACCGAGCCGCGCGCTTGCGCGCGCACAAAGCGTTTCTTCGTGGCGCGAGGCCGACGGCCGCGGCATCTTCATCCACAAGGGCCGCAGCAAGGAACACTGACGGACATCGACTGGGATCCTTTTTGCCTAAAATCGATGTTCGGCCCCGATCGAAGCAATACCCTGTGATGCAACTGAGGGCAAATGAGGGCAAGGTCCTTAAGTGGGAGTTGCGGTCTACAATGAAGGCTGTTAATCCTCAGGGAATGTCGTCCAAACGAAGGGACAGATGCCGGAACCACGTGAGCAGCGCATATTGTGGACGCAACGACGCTCGCAGGAGGTGGACCCAGAAGTGGTGGCCAAGCTGGACGAGGTGGCGTGTCCAGTTTCTGTTGGATCGATAGGATACTGCGTTTTTGATTTGATGCATGCTTGAAGATATGCAGGACGCCAGAATGAGTCACTGAGTTACCTGCAAAAAGCCAGATATTCTGGCGATGGTCTTCTCACAGACAACCGTGTGAGAACACAGGAATCCAAACGAGCTGGGGATTCGCCAGGGCTACCCAACTGGACCCCAGCTCCTGGAAAACACCAGCCCTAAGTTGACTGGGCTCCACTCTGGCGGATTTGCTCAGAAATAAGTTTTTGGTACGCTCCCACTTCAGAATCTGCACATTCATGATGTGATGTCTTGTTTAAAGTGCTCCTTCCTACCCTAGTTTGAACACATGGAAGTGGAAGACCCGTTTCATTTGCCCCATGCTCGACCGCACACCACTGGGCAGTGGGACATCGGCCGATGTTCACACCAGGTGCGCAAGGCCAAGGGCGTGGTCCCCCGCGCGGTGAGCGACCAGGAGATCTGCGAAAGGTGCCGTGGCGATCGACGCGGGCCCAGTTGTCCCGTGCGCTTCCGCTTTTACATGACTCCATCGTCGTGGCACAAGCCTAAGTGAAGCACCTCGGTGGATCACATAGTAGTAATATCGTAGCGTTAGGACGCTATGCTCGGTGGAGGCCATGGCAAGTAGGTTGGAGGCCATCGCTACGAACGGAACAAGAAGCTACTAATAACACATATATATGGGTTCTTACAGACGAGTGTAGATGGGAATCGTTGAAGGAGCCATCCCATTCCTCCAAGAAAACCCATCTTCAAGGACCGAACCTCATCCACCAAACAAACTTGGGTCTTGGTTGAAAGCTTTTGTGAAGCAGGCTACTACCCACAGACGATCGCTGGTCAGGTTGAAACCATTCCAACTATTGGCTTTTACACCAAATGGGAACCTCGTAGAGCATATTTCTTCTGGGACTGGTCGCGCAGCCAGGCTCTTCTATCCTCTCATCAACGAGGGCTTCAAGATCCTCGAGGAGGGCTACGTGGCACGCTCCAACGACATCGACATCGTGTGCGCCCGACGCAGTGTGGAGGTTAGGACGGTCGGACGACCGGGACAGTCTTTTCGGTGGAGCGGAAGACCCCTGGAAGCAAAAGCAAATGACAGCCCCTGCCACGGACAGGCCATTTTTGGCAATTCCTTTTCGAGACGGACAAGCCTAAGACAGACCCGCACACTTTCATTGGATGGTCAACTTCCTGGTGCCCTCCGTTGGCGGATTCCAAGTGCTCTCCGGCTGCAAGGTATATCTATGGCTATGGCTTCCCCCCTTCCAAGGGTGGGCCGATATTCTTTGCTGAGAACTATGCGCCTCGGATTCTCTTTGGATGAGGGAGGGTCAGGGAGGATAGGGTTCGGAGGTTGAAGCAGAAGAGGCGGTTTGCTGCTGCGCCAGCCTGATCAAGTCTTGAAGCGTCTCGGTGGCAGGCTCCGAGTGTTTTGGGTTCAACCGAAGGATCGGTCCAAGACGACTGGCAGGTCGGCACTCGATACTTCGATGGCAAGTCGCATCAAAGCGGTGGAGGTTGCTCGTCTAGTGTAGTGATTCGAACAGGGGATAAGACATGGAGCAAGCTAAATGAGAGTGGAGAACAACTTCTCGTGAGCATCTCTCAGGGGATAAGACATGGGCCGCTAGGGTCGGTCGATACGCGATTTGGAAGGATGACAAGCTTCAAACCTCAGGGGTTTGAGAATGCATGTTTTGGCCCCAAACACGCAGGTTTAGGAGGTCTTGGAGAGTTAGAGGGCGCCGTGTCAGGAACTTGACGAACATCTTCATCCAAGAAACCTGGAAGCCAGAAAACCCAGTTCCTTCTCCCGGTTCTCACCTTCCATGAGAAAAAGCCCTTCCTCCCATCCTTTCTTCGTTGAGACTTCGACCCCGGGTCGTTCGGAAGTGCCAAAAACGCCAGTTGTTGGGTCCGGGACGGTCCTTGGTTCATCCATTGAGTTGATTGGGACTTTCCCGTGCCATGTGTTTTTTTCTTGAGTCGATCAGATTCCATCATGGTCGGAGGGCCTGAGGGAGAGGTTTTCTGCCTTCTCTTGGGTGAAGTGCTTTCTTGCTGGGCTCCAACTCCAAGGCCGGTCACGGGGTATGTCTGAACATCTCCACTTGCTGTACAAAAAAGATGTTCCATGGAGTGTCCACGGTGGCTGGCCACGCACAATTTACTCTCCGGTTCCGATGCCTCACAAGGCCGGTTTCAAGACCATCTTGGAGAAGCTCAAGGTCACGACGTGTCCGAACGGTTGGGACTGGGGTGGACCGGTACGCAGCGGACGGGCAGATCTGCGTGACACAGGGGCTCGGAGGAATTAGACGAGACCGGCGAGATTGAAGAGAAACTTCATTGAGATGTCTCTCTTTAAATACATTGCGGCGCGGTTTTGTTGATCTAGTTTGTGTGTGATGCTTCTAGTGGCTGGTGCTTCAACCATCCTAGTTTCTGTTGAAGTTGGGTCTTCTTCAATTGAATTTGGGCCTTTTGAGGACGTTGTGAACATGTTACAGTAATTCAATTCATTTTGGGCAACACCAGTCTCGGAATTGGGCTGCAACGCCGGACTGGATCAAGATAGGGTGAGAGGCAGGAAAAGCAGTACACCAGGCTAAGTTCGTAGATGGCAAAACTCCACAAAGTAGATCTAATGAGAGCTTGACCGGCTATCTAGTAGATCACTAAACCAAGAGATTGGAGTTGTGCCATCTACCCTCCTGGTGCACATCTGCTCTTCCAGCCACCGAAGCGAGGGTTTCCAGTTTTCCCATTGGACACTGATGACTGATTACCAACTCAACAAACCAACAGCTACTAGAACGTCCACTCAAGCTTCCCTAGTATACAGCAATGGAAGGGAAGCGATTTTCCGCCCAGCCGAAGGCGACTTTTTCTTGTTTCTCCTGGAGCCATGGAGATGGAGCCCATGGACGCACCCGTTCCCTCCGGCGAGGCGGCATGTCCAGTGCCTGTCTCGCTCGGTGCGAGCGCGGTGGACGTGGTGGTTGACCCGGCAGAGAAGGACATGGACCTGATGGTGTTGTGGCTCTCACGCATGGACTTGACCAACCGGAAGTTCCTGCGAGCCGTACCGCTCAGGTGCTCAGGAGGTTTGGTCGAGTCCTGCGAACTTCCACAGAGTTAGAGTTCAAACACAGCTTGGCAGTGGAGGAGATCAGAAAATTCATCTCTCATAGCTGGCAGGCGTCAGGTTGGTCCAAAACGCTGACTTTGCTACTTTTCTACAACTGGAAAGCTGCTGTAATTGTCAGCAACTTGATAGCCCTGCTGGCGATGGTCCTTTTCATGTTCGATCTTCTACCAGGCTTCATGAAAGCAGCCCGTTGGGGCCCAGAGCTCTACGTGGCACCATGGACCATTTGCACTGCCGTGCTTTGCTTCGTGTTGGTGTTGATCTTCCGCACTCCGAAGGAGCCAGTCTTTTTGGATCGCCTTTGCATCAACCAAAAAGATGAGCCTGAGAAAGCGGAGGGTGTGTTGAATATCGGTGCGTGCCTGAAGCGATCGAGAAAGCTCTTGGTGATTTGGGAAGCCACCTATTGCCAACGGCTCCTAGGCACCTTTTTGGGGGGGACTCGGAGCATTGTTTCTTCTGCTCTTTCTTTGCCACAAGTATAGTCCACCAAGTCCTGCAGGAACCCTTATCGCTGGCATCTTGTGCCAGGTAGTGCTGTGAAGAAGTCCAATGCGAACCCTGTGTGAACAGGTAACCAGGTAACCACCTAAGATCTGAGTGTTGGAGGAAAAGTCATACCGGTGCAGCGCGATCGGAGCCGTTCGACCATACATGTGCAATACAGTTGAGATGTATATATGCATGTATATATAAATTTCGTCTACTGTAATATCTATAGACTCCATAGACTCCAGACATATTCAAAGCGAAGAGTGGCGGCTTCCGCCTTTCTGAAGAAAATCAGTAGACTGCACAGCGCTGGCCGAACAGGTCTCTTCAACGTGCACGGTACCGCGTGGGTGCACTGCACGCGGGGCAAGCTCACAAGATCAAGGAAATTCGTGTGGAAATTTCGCCGTTCAAGAATTTGAATACTGCATGCTTTGAAGTCAGAATCATGTGTGGGGCAACACCCGTGCCCTCGACATCCAACATGAAAGGATCATTGATCAAGGACGTTCATCTGCCAGGAACTTTTGGTGTTGAGTTGTGAGTCAGACCTACATGAACAGACACGTGAAAGTCACATCAATCAAGGTTGGTGGTGTCTAGAGGTTCGATAGAGAGTCTGGGCTGCTTCCCGCGGCTAACCTATTGTACAGATTGGACGACGATGCAAGACAACACAGCAATAGTCAGGGTCCACATTTTGCCACTTTGTTTGCAAGTTGCTGACTTCATAGGAAGACATTGGATCGATCTGGATCTTGCTGAAACAAGTGCGCGAGACCTCACCTGTATAAATGTCACACTTCCAATAGCTGCATCGTGCGGAGTTTGCCCAGCTCCTTTTTTCCGGGTCTTGTTTGGGCCCTTTGCAAGGCCCTTTCGTGGCTTTGCCTGGGAGAAAAATCCAAGTAAACCAAGCGTGTGGCCTGTGCCCACACTTTAGTTTCAAGGAAACACCTTGAAAGTGATCCGTGTCATCTTGAGGATTTGGCTTTGAAACGTGCATTCGACTGGTAGAAGACGGTCGAACATGTCTGGTCGAGTCTGCAAGTCGGCAAACGAAGTGTCGCTGCGTCAGTGAGATTATCTACGAATCTAAGTCAGACCTGGCAATGGTTAAAAAGGAAGCCACAAGCGAAGTTCCCCCTTGTTCCTTGTGTTCACACTCACATGGTGATAAGTGACAACCACTCTCAAGCTCAGGCTGTGGTGCATTTTCGAATTGGCAGCGTTCTTGACGACCCACGAGGATAAGGACGTGGTGGTGCTGCCCACCGCTCTTGCACAGTTTGTGATTGGATCGATTCTCTGGAACTTCTTGATGTGGTGCTTCTGGATCGTGCTACCTTTTGGCAGCGCAGTGGCAACTTACATTCTTCTCTTCGGCTACTGTGTCTATGGTTGGTTGATTTCCACAGTTGGAGTTCAACACGTCCTGAGCGTTGAGAAGATGCAGGAGGAGTTGCGGAATTTCAGCGTTGCAGATGCAAATTGCTTTTGCTGCTCGGTGAATCACAAAGATCCAACAGGAGAAGACATACCATGTGACCGCCAGATTATGCTACAGTGCGTTCAACAGTGGTTTGGCTCTATCAAGGAGTTTGAAATGTCGGTGCGGAGCAGGTTGAAAGATGCGTTAACCTCCTCTTTGGGGATGTTTTGTCCATACTCCTTGGTAGTCACTACAGCTCTTCCTTGCATGTGGGTGAACTTTGACTTTGCCGCTGCCAGATTATACAGGCGAGATGCTTCTGGGGCAGTAGGCATGAGCATCATTGGTCTCATTAGCGTATTGCTGCTGGCTCCCGCAGTATATGCACTCATTATTCTGATGATTCGATGCTCCTCCCGCTGCTGCCTGACCTTCCGCAAGTTGTTGGCAGTTGGAGCCGTTCTTGCAGCCAATCTCGCAGTGCACGGCATTTTGCAAGTGAGTGTGGACTACGCGGGTGAGATGTGGGGGCCGGCATTGTGTGTCCCTGCAACGCTTTTGCCCATGTTGTTCTTGTGGTGGCTGACCACTCGAAAGTCCATAAGATTTGGAACCGACCCCCAGCTGGAGGCTGAAGCGCTAGAACACGGCGTGACTTCTAAGCGCAGCTGAAAGACTTTAATTCGTTTGGCATGCCAGCAAGGTGCTTAGCTCCTGAAAAGTGCGAGCTCTTGTAGACATGTTTGTTTGCACCGGCCATGATGAACATGTTTGAACCTCATTCTTAGGCATACCTATCATCCTCTAGCAACTCCTGAGCGACCTTTCACTTCAGCCGGACACCGGGACGATCTCGTGGTGCCGAGATCTCGCTGCGCAGGTCTTTGACAAGCAGGCCAAGGAGCGATTCACCAAGAACAAGGCATACTTGTGGCTTAGTTTCCGATTTCAGAAGGGATGAACGGGAACACCATGGCACATCATGGCACAGCTGGATTTCGCTCCAGCCTTGTGCATAGTGTCCATGCAATTTGGAGATTTCCTCGGTTTTTCCTCTTATCTGTGCTCAATCTCGCTGCCTCAAAGTTGGATAGCATTTGCCAATTTTCACCGTCCCTTCAAGCCGAGAGGGTTGGCTCTTGGACCCCCCGAGGATCGGTTTTGTCGGACTTCGATGGACATCTAGAAGTCTTGGTCGGCCACCGATGGACATCGGAGGAGCAGACGAGATTGAGTGAGTCCAGCGGCCCCAAAACCGTAGGCATATGCTGCATATATGAATAGAGAACAGAGTACGGAAATCCATATTTACTGTATATATATATATATAATACAGTATATAATCGTGATAATATGTCAGATTCACCTGTCCGATTTATGTGATGGTTGCCTTAAGGCCGGCACGGCACATAGTCACCTCTGCCGAGGACACCTCGCATGGGTGTCCTTTTTTGCTCAATGATTGGCTCTTCACCCTGGGGAGTAGCACCAAACTCTCTCACCAAACGCAGCTAAAAACGAATCTCCGGAGGAGAGAAGCGGAGACGGGTTTCTCAGCGAAACCTCGGAAACCATCTCCGCTGAAGAGGGGGATGGAACCAGTTCCAGAAGTTCCCCTCCTATGTACAATGGGCAAAGGCTGGTCGGATGGGGCGTATCCCAAGATCTGGATGTTATTTTGACATGCTCGTGAGTTTGGAGTCTGAGCCATGTGCAACCCCAAAGACAGCTGGGGCTCCTGTTCTGCTTTCAAGATTGGCGTCACATGTCCGATGGCATTCAGGTCCTGAGGGGTCACTCAGGTTCGGACAACACTCGGCGCTCAGGCCGATTAACTACTTTGAGCCCTCCAAGTTGTTGGAAGCCTGTGCGGAAAAAGAGGGCATGAAGGCCTGACTTTGTGGCTAAGGGTTGGCGAGGGCTTGGGACAGGTTGGGAAGGGAGATGAGGTTGAAACAGGGTATTTTTAGGGTTGTACTCGGAGCATGCACGTGCATTTACAAGTCATTCTAGTGTTCACCAGGATAGACGGCCGGGATGACGGACGTTTGGGTGAGGGGAAAAGGGAGGGTCGGATAGAACCAATGATCGAGTTTCAATGCATGGCTTTCAAAAGGGTCTATTATGGGAGCAGCTTGATTATGTTTGGTTATGGGAAGTGGAACTATTCGATGGATCAGAGGAGCTGTTGAAATGCGTGGAAGGGTTGAAGGGGGGCTTGAACGGTGGAACGAAAGTTCAAAGTCGGGTTTTGAGCAGTTCCTGGTGGTTGAAGACAATTGTATTTTCATATGAAACCAACTGACATAGCTCTGTGGCTAATTGATCGCCTAGCGAACCCGGACAAAAGCAGGTAGGTGCATCTGCCATAGGAAATGACACACACACACACAGACAAACACACACGGGCAGCAAGCGATCACGACGTTCTACTTTACAGTGGCTCATGAGGGTCGATCAAACTTCCTTTTTTGACAGAATGAACAAGAGAAGGTAACGGCCTTTTTGATAAGGTCTTATCTTGTTATTTTCTTCCCTTTGTGTTCCATTTCCCAACTTTGATATCAGTTGCCGAGGTTCAGATTCAAGTGAGAGAGGCTTTATCCCTTCATGTTCTTGACGTTTCTTTAACATCGCTTCCTAGGTGATCATGCGTTCTCTGATCCGAAAGCCAATGGGAGGCCTCTGGTTCTCAAACAAGGCCATGCCGCTAAAAGAGGTTCACTTGGATCATCCTTCACTCACCTCACATTCTTCCCCCAAAAGGCCTACCCTCTGCATCTCTACCTCTCGTGGCCGCCAACTCACGTGGCTCAGCTCCGTTGTGTGGCGCCGCTCGGGGCCCACGACGACGGTCGACGTCATGCCATGGGATTTCTGGGGCTCCCTCGACTGGGCGGATGTCTGCTGATTTCCTTGGGCCTCGTCGCCTGGCAGGCGGGAGAGGAGAGGGCGGAGGGCCGCGCGGCTACTTGCGGCAGCCCACGATGTGCGTAGAAGGTGCAGACTTTGGATGAAACCCCAGGTGGTCGAAGGTAGAAGACCCCCACCATGTGACAGAGGGATTCACCATGGGTTGCACTCTCGTGTGCCTGGGATCCGCAAAGTAGCGCGTGGCTGCATGGCTACAAACTTATTCCTCCGGCAGCTGGGCCCATTGACTGAGACTGGTCGTAGATCCAGAATTCCCGAACTGTCCTCCTTGTCCTTTTCCGAACTGTTGGATCTCTCATCCACTCATCAGTGGGACCTTCCAACTGATGGGGTCGTGTCACTGGACCCTCAAAAAGAAGTTTTTACCTTTTCTCACCGAGAAACTACATGGATTGTAGCATGCTCCAGGTGGGTCCAAAGTTTTCTTTTTGGTCGGTATACTTCCCTGATTGCTTTGTGTTTTTCGTTTCGCCGTTTTTCTTCAGAATCCCGTCCTGTTGAGATGGGAGACACATGTAGACACATGTAGAGACCATAGACATTGAGTTCATACCAAAGGAATCAGTCACACGGTCACCCTACCATGCTGCAGGATGGGCTAATTGATGAATTCATCCGTTGACTTAGAAATTGAAGACGTCGAATGCTGAAAAAAGAAAAAAACACCTACCCCTTCGAGGCTGGGAAGAAGGTCTTAGTCGAGAAGGCAGGAAAAAGGTTTTGAGACCTCCCCTTGCTGAACTAGCTGTTTTGGGTGTTCCCTGTTGAGAGCAGACTTCCTGGCACACGTTCTTGGGCTGGCTTAAACGCATCCCTCGCTTCCCATTGGCGGCGTCTGGACAGGGCCGTCATGTTCACCGCAGGTCCACCGCGCCGAGCTCGAAAAGCGCCCGAAGAGCGGGTCCGAAGAGCCGCACGAGGCGGAATGAGAGGGACGACGTCCGGGTCAGAGGGCGAGAATTGGATGTGCTCATGGTGAGTGTGCCCACCCGGTGGAAAACACATGAAAGGAGCTACGCACGGTGGAGGCCATCGCTGTTAGGTTGGAGGCCATTGCTACTAGGAGTAAGGACGCTACTAGTAGGTCTTTGAAGCTATTAGTAACAAACAGGATAGTTTTTTCTCGAAAGCATGTGGTCGGAAGTAGATGATGACAGTCCACTTTAGGCAAGCGGTTGCAAAACCGGTTACGAAGCTGAGTTCTAATCCCAGATCCGGACATATAGATCAGTAAACCAAGATCCATCCCTCATGTGGATGTGTCTTAGAATTAGGATGAATTAGGACTACCTGTTAGAATTGTGAGCACCTCCTGTCTTAGAATTTAGTGTTCTTTCCCCGGAGGGGAGTTGCAACCACTGATCCGCATCAAACCATCAACGTGGCGTGGGGCTCCCACGGTGCCTCAACGGTGCGTGATCGGTTTCAGTGACCGTTCCTCCAAAAACCACGAACACCTTAACAACGAGGCCAGGCCGTTGCGGAACTGACATACGTCTGGTTTTGAACAGTTGGGTACGTCTCAAACGAAGGGGACTGGCAAATAGGGGTCTTCAGTAGAGGGCTTCCATTTTTTTTTCATTGATTTGCTCAATGTTCATTGTACTAGCATGGCATCGCTACTAGGAGCGATCGGACGCTACGTTCGGGGCTCCATGTTCATGGTAGTCTGTTACTCCAGGTTCCCTGTGAGTCAACGCTTGGCCAGGACCCGACGCAGCTGCGCCAGGACGACCGCGACGCACATTTCGTGCAGCGTCATGCCCGCCTCCGGAGCGACCGGGCGCCGACGCCTCTGGTGACCACGGCGGTGCCCGTGCCTCGGTGGTTTCGGAGGGATGGTTTACCCGTTGGTTTCGGATTCGGCACTTTTGGGACTCAATGTGATTTCCTACTCAAACTCCAATGTCCCCTTGTTGCAGTGGACCATTTTCCTTAAATTCCCCTGCAACGTGGTGTTTATGAGGTTTGGACCTGCTTTGGGGTGAAATGGTGGGTCTTTGCCAAAGTTGAAGAGATACTGTTGATGGGCAAAATCCTGCACCACTTCCTCAGAGGGGTCGCGCATTGGGGCCACCACAGTGAGAAAACAAACACAAGTTGAAGGTCCAAAATCCTGCACCACCTCCTCAGAGGGGTCGCACCAACATTGAATGAGGGGGCGCGGGGGTTGCTATGCGACCCTGGCAGGGTAAAGTGGGGAGTTGGTGCAGGATTTTGTCCATCAACAGTATGACGTGGTGAAGTGGAATGGACGCAGGTTACTCATAGCCTCTGAGAGCATCTCGCCGTTGCTCCACATGAGGGAAGATTTTTCTCATCACTGTTGCTTCTAGGCTCTCAGTCAGACACTCTTTTTGGAACTTACATGGATATCATAGGAAGGACACCCATTAACACGGCTGGGCGGGCGACCTTAGGGACCTAGGGCGAACTTTCAAGTCCCGTTTCAAGCTCTTGGGCCCGCGGGCACTTTGTAAAGGGGTTTGCACCTGACCTAGTCACCCTGGGCGCGGTTAAGCACTCACAAATGAGCTGGCTCGAACAGAGCTGGTTGCAAGTCCAGACCTAGTCTTAAGGTTTTTCTAAGGCCATTATCTACGGTCTTATTTTCTTTCTTGAGCAGAATCTCTGAAGCATATATTTGTCTGTACCTCAAAACAAGCTGCTGATCCACGGAAGCAGTGTGTAAGTGCTTTCTCTTTCTTCATCTTCTTCTTCTTCTTCTTCTTGTTCCAAGGTGTCGCAACACCCTGGTTTTGCGCAAACATGCAATCAGGCTTGCTCCTGGCTGAACATGAAGAACCAGCCGGCAAAGGAAGTTTCCTGAACCCTCCCAAAAAGAATTCGATAACAAGGACGCTGCTAGGGGCTCCTGGCCTTACTACGAACGGAGCAATGTTCGCTACGTTCGGAACAAAGGTTACCAGGTTATCGCTACGAACGGAGCGATCGGACGCCACTAGGGGCTCCTGGCCGTACTACGAACGGAGCAAGAAGCTACTAGGGGCTCCTGGCTACTAGGGGCTACTAGGGGCTAAACGGAGCAAGGACTCTCACTTCTTCTCTCCAATCTTCCGAGTACCCGATGCGCCAAGGTCACCGTGGCGCCGGTCGCGGCACCGGTCCGGGTGGGAGCCTCCTGGATACCGAACCACTTGGCGAAGACGAGCAGCTTGGAGGTGGGGCGAGGGGGACCAAATTTGTGGCGGTGGATTTTCCGATTTTCCCCTGGAACATTTTAGGCATATCAGGTTTGAGTCATTTTTTTTTGTTGCGTGCAGCGGTTTGAAAAGGAGAACACAGACTATGCGATTGTTACAGCGTTTTGCGCAGAGCAGTGGAGTGATTTAAACAGCTTCATTCTCCAATACTGGCAAGCAATACATCAAGGGAACCCACCTTGGAGCTGAACGAAGAAGAGCTGCACAGATGAAGATTCACGATTGGTTTGTAGACATCGCTGATATTGTCTTTAGGGACTTGGAATCCTGAGGCTTGTCTATCCTAGTTAGTAGCTGTTCTTGCCTGAGAAGGGAACCGGAGGCCTTTGATCCAGTCAACGGGAACTGAGGAGGTTTCAGCAATGCACTGTATGTCGAAGGCAGAGCGATAGAAACATCTCCGCCTGCGACATCGGTTTGGTGGTCTCCTTAAACGGTCGCGAGCCATTTTCCACCTAACGAGCGTGCGGGACACGGCAATGTTTGGACGCCACCAGTCCAAATCATGGTGTACCAGGATTGTGTTCTGCACCGCCTCTTTTTGTGAAGTGGGAACTTGACGACCCTGGGTGAGGAATGGTAAGGTACACCTTGCACGAACCCCATGCGAGCATCTGAAGTGAAGTCACCCAGATTTGCGCTTCGGATGCAGGTCTGGAGGCCTCCGGACTATGCCGCTCTGCCAGCCATGCCGCCAGAGGTTTGGTACGCCAGCCGAGTGGCTGGGCAGAGGGTGAATGGTGGGGATTCGGTGGGTTCGAATTCGGTGGGTTCGAGGTCGGTGGGTTCTGTGAGTGGGTGGAGGGGTGCAGCAACTGTGACACTCCGAAACCAGATTGTCCAGAACAGTGAATTCGTTCCTTTCAGGGTTGCATGGGGTGTGATAGTTGGACTGTTGACTTGGGTTTGGGCGGAGGAAAGAAGAGTCTTCAGAGCGGAGAAAACCGACATGTGAAAGAAGAAGAAGACGACGAAGACGACGAAGAAGAAGAAGACGACGACGACGACGACGAATAACAATAAAAAGAAGAAGAAGAAGAAGAAGAAGAAGAAGACGACGACGACGACGACGACGAAGACGACGACGACGACGACGACGACGACGACGACGACGATGACGATGATATGTGAAGATTCTGCTAATTGTACTGAGTGCAGACCAGGACATCCTCGGTAGAAGGTCCCAGATGTATTGTGCAGGACAGTGGGTTTGTGAGGATCCTTGCAGGGGTGATTGGACGCTGTTGGATTTCTACGATCCACCCGATTAGATTGTGGGATTGCTCAGCCTAGGAGCAAGAAGCGACTAGGAGCTGGAAGCTTCGTTGGGAATCGTTTCACCTGTAGTAACAAGCAGCTACTAGTAACAAAGGGCATTACTACTAGTAGCATTCTTACTACTAGGAAGAAGAAGAAGCTGATGCCAAAACCACCGTGACCCTCTGGTGACCTCGGGAACGGGCGTTCCCTTCAGTCCAGGTTGGTGTGTTGGAACTCGCGTGGGCGCGAAAACGGCAAACACGGTTTGGTGGCCAAAGGTGGTCTGACCACAGGAGATGGTTCACATGGAAGCATAGCGAATCAGATCTTCTTTGCAAAAAACCAAGGAAGGGTTTTGGATTGAGACAAAAGAAGGATCGCTCGCTTCGGACGCGCTATCTGCGAGGCCGAGATGGAGACGGACCAGAGGTATCCGTTGGCGACTCGGCGGACTCGGGTTTGGGGTCTCGACGGATGGAGGGAAGGAAACGAGGCTTTTTGGAGGCAGGTCCGAATTTGCAGTGTCCGCAGTGTCTGAGGGCATTCCGTATGCGACATGCGAAACCTCACGGGAACAACAGAACAAACCCACACATCTTTAGGAAACACAATGAATCGTGCAAACCTTTGCACCAAATGTTCCCGGTTGAACTTGCGCGGTCTCGCAGACGCAACAAACAAACATCGTCACATGGGGTGTTCAACTCAACACCGCAAGTAGCGAAGCCCCAAATGACATTGAAACCCCAAATAGCGAAGAAGCGCTCCGCAGCCGAGTGGCTTTGCTCTTGCAGGTGGACTCGGCCTTGCTTCGCTTGAAGGCCCAGCGTGCGGTCCGCCTGGAGATCTATGGTGGGAGTCTCTGGGCAGAGCCGATTTGGGGTGATTTCGGAACAGCTGACGGCTGCAACTGAAAGTTTGGACCCGCACTCCCTAGGGTCTTTTTGATGTGTTTCCCGATGTTTCAGGGAGAGAGTCATCCCTAAAGTAGATGGTTCTGCAGCTTTCCATAGTTTTGTTTCAATCAGGGTTTCACTGATTATTTTTGTGGGTCAGATTAACATTTCACATTATTTGGCGGAGATGGAGATCTATTCTGTTTGTTTCTTAGGGCAACAATTTTGGAGGGAAATGTCATGACAGAGTTTTGGAGTTTGTTTACTTGAGGTTGGTGCGACTAGGGTACTTCGCATTAGTGAACCATTGCTTGCTCAGAAAATTAACACACAATACATGGACATTGTGATTTCGACACTTGGCGCCCAAGACTACACACCTTTGAGGAGTGGCTGGCTGCCCCTCCTTTCTTCAGAAACTCGCACCATTTTGTCTCACACAAAGAACCAATCTGGGATCAGTGTGAATATCGCGTGGTACTGGGGAGTTGTGTTTGCGGGACTGTTTTCTGGTGACGAAAGATTAAGTTGTTCTAGAAAGGGTCATTTGCAGACAGCAATCTTGTCCTATAAGAGACACGTCACTTGGACTCCACCTACGCAGAACTCAAGCACCTCAAATCAGCTTAGTTGCTATGGCATGCTATCGCTAAGCGGCTAGGGTCCGCAAAAATAAGATGCTTTGAAAGCCCGAAGAACAGACACTCATTCCGTCCAGTCATTTGATTTGGGGGACGGTACGTCCGACCACTTCCGAACCCTGTTTTCCGCCGAGGCATGACCTTCGGCACCGACTGTTGTGGCAAAGCCTGTGACATGCAGCTGAGACGCCTGGCTGCAGCGGCCGTGGGTGATTCGAACATGGGAAGCGGCAGCGTCAAATCTCTGGGATCCAGATCTTTCTGAAAGAAAGTTGTGACACATGCAGCAGTTGTGAATGAAAGTTCTCCTGCTTGCGAGCTACTGTTGGAGGGCAGATCAGTATGATCCGATTGCATCAAACCCCGGAAATGGTTCCCTGAATGGCGGCCGCTGCAAGACCACATTCAACTTTGTCAGCGGTGTGAGGGGTGCTGGCCGCCCTACAAATCCCAAACAGCTCTTGGACCCTGAGGCAAATGTGCCTGGCCCTCGCTTTTCACCGCGCTGCTGCAAGAAGCCTTTCCTGGCTTAGTAGAAGTGGACTCCTATGCACGAGGACTGGGATGACAGGGCTGGATTTTGTTGAGCAACTTGGTCACGGCATCCCCTTAGAACGCATAAAGAAGGTCTAAAGCTTGTGGCTCCAAGGTGATTCTTAGAATGCCGAAGCCTTGGACGGGCAATCTTTCGATCGGAATTCGGAACCCTGACAAGTCTGTAGTCCAGCTAACGAGTTGAGACATTCCAGTGAAAATCATCAAGGACTTTTTCATCCTCAACCCCTGTCCTCCTCCCGTTGACTTCAGCCCTCCTCTTGTCAGCGGGGAGGAGGCTGCAACTTGGAGTGTGCCTTGACGGAGATGGTCGTGGCGCAACGCAGCGCTCGCTCTGCACCTGACGGGCTCATCTTGGACTTCAGCCAGACGCTGACAGAAATGGGGGTCAGGGGCGTGTCCCTTCAAGAAAGACGGAGGGTGGATGGCCTGGTCTCTTGGAAGACGACTTTCCTCGACAAGCAGCGTGTTTTGCCCTTTCTTTGCTTGAGGTTGGAAGGGGGGTACTGTTGAAGGAGAGAATCCAACACCACTGAAGAATCTCTTCTTGATACTTGATCCATTGCAAATCTCAATAGATAATGGTAACGGAGGTTGCCCTTTGTTCTCAGGTGGGGTGGAATTGCTGTGACCATGTGAGATGTTTGGGTAACAGCGTTACTTCGCTGACCCCAGGCAGCAGCTCACTTCGCTGTTTTGGGGCTTACCCAGCAGGTCTTGGCTCTTGCCAAGTGCACCTGAGTTGCTCTCAACGGTGTCTCCATTTGCTGAAGCGCAGCTTGTAGAGAAGCCAGTGTAGCGACCCACAAAATTAAGAGTAGGAATTGATTGTCACGCGTTTCATTGGGAGACCGCAAGCACTTGCGAACACGTACGCTGTGGGAGCAGACGCACGACCGCTGTTGTTCGTTCGCATTCGCTCGAATCTGAGGAACGGATGGGGTGGTCGAGACCACAAGCTGGAGGAATTTATCCGGATTTGTCACCTCTTCTTGTCACTTGGCTGTCTGCAAGAGAGGTGTAGCTAACATGTCAATGTGGACATGCAAGCGGTCTGCAAAGCGTTCTACCAAACCATGATGGTTGAAGGGAGTGCCAAATACGGATCAAATATGCCAAAGGCTGACACCTAAATTGATAGACACATTCTGATAGGAATTGCTTGGACACTGTAGAACAACTTGGAACACCACTATCGTTGACACCAAAAAGAACACCCCGTGGAAACCCGAAAGGCGGCTCCGGACATCGGCCGAGGCCGGACAGCTTCATCGTGCTGCTGTACAATCGAGCAGCTCGCTCAGAGCGACAGAGACGGAGACGGACGACAGAGACGACGGACGACGTGTTTCTGCGGAATGTGTGTGAGAGGTTGCAGGAGGAGGGCTCTGTGTTTTCTCTTGTTTTGGGGACGGTTCTCATTGGATGGAGACCGTTGCAACGTTTTTCCTGTGGAATCGCCTCGACCTTCCTCTGACCAAGGATATGGCAGATGAGTTTCATACAGTCAAGGACGACCACGACTTGAAGATCCTGCAAGCGGTGGCGAAACACTACCATCTTCCGCTTCTCAACTATGAGAAAGCCATGGTGCAGTTTGGCGTTTTCAGCAACTTGTTTCAGATGGCTTGAGGGCCGAAAGCCCTGGAAGTTCGTAAGATCCTACCCAGCTCTCTACAAAGGTGCTTTTGAGATGTGGACATGGAATACATTCAATGAACAAAGACCAAAGTAAATGCTTCTTCCACATCACGGCACTCTTCCATTTCCAAAGACCTTTCTTCGGGAGGGAAGACGGGGGCCCAACAGCATTTACAGGGGTGCTTGCACCGGGGTGGTGCCAGTGTCCTCCATCAACGTGACAGAACAGGTCTGGAGTGAAGACCCCCCAAAGCAGATAGATGCAAACCCCCCTTTTTCATCCTTTTTCTATCAGTGTTTGACCTGGATCTCTTCGACAAGTTCGTCCAGGCAACCAAACGAGCCTCAGCCTCATGTGGCCTCGACCCTCTCCTGTGAGCTATCCGGACTGGGCCAATCGGCACCCTCAATGGCCGGGGCATGCCTTCTATGCTGACATGCTGGTGGACTGGTTGAACAACGCGCAGCTTAGTGGAATAGAACGACGATCGTCTGATCTGACTCGTTTGTGAGGCCCGAACGAAAGATCAGGTCATGGATGAGGAATTTCAGGCCGCGGCCTCCACTGGAGGCGATGACTTTTTGGTCTCTGCCTTTTCCCCCTTTTGACAAACTCTCTAGAACCATAACGTTTGCTGGTCGGGTTAGACAAATCTGGCCCATTGATAGCAGAACTTTGTCTTCCACTATTCTTCACAGTGTCTAAAAGTCTCTCACACTAGGAAAGTGGGATAGTCCTCCCTCAGTGTTTTGCCAGCTCTTCAGTACCACACCTCCGCAACCGCTATGAACAAGAGGCCCTCTTGGCCCATCGGCGTCGGGCGCCCAACCGAGGCTCGCCACCTTGCCGGTCACACCGGGAGCGATGGCGCCACCTGCGCCAGCACTCCGGGCACCGGAGAGCTCAGCGGACCAGGCAGCGGGGGCGTAGTGTTTCGAGGTTCGAATAGGAAGGACTTTGAATAGCAGTGAATCGCAAGTGGCCTTGTAGACTTCTGAAAAACGCATCGCAGAGTTATAACTGCTTCTGAGATGGGAAGCTGTATTGATTTGGTCGAGCTTCACAAAGTGCTAGGGGCTTCAAAACCACTACAGCATCGTCCAAGAACCCCAGCCTCGGAACGGTGATGATCAAGGTGCGAACATGTCGGACGTCCACCGCTTTTCGGCTTTTCGGGTCGATCGACGCCGATCGGCGCCTGGTGAGGACTGGATCAAGCCGTTGAAGAGCATGAACCTCGAGTTGCCAGACAGAAAAGTTGAGGATGGAACAACCCCCGCCTGTGATGACAATGTGACTGTGTAGTGACTGATGAGTGGTAGGTTCAGCTAATCAGATCCTCAAGGAGATAGGTATGATAGGAACCATTTCCAGGAGATGTGTTAAAGGAGATAAAGGTTTGTGGCGTGACTGCAGTTGTAGATGGCAATGTGAGAGTGCCTTATTATATATACATCTTGTCTGGAGGCATGTGGTGGGTTTGGGTTTTGGAGCCACTTTGGGATCGATTCTGACAATGGCAGTTGGGTCAAAGGAGGAAGTTCCTTTGCCGTTTCCTGGTCGACACATCCCTGACTTACAAGTGTTTGTGGCTTCTGCTTGGGCGTCCTCGGGTCCTTGCATTAAAGGTTTTCAGCCAAGAAAAGTGAAGAAGACAGTACCGTGGGCGAACAATAGGTGGGGAAGATGGTGCTTGGAACAGTTCCGGAAGCAGAGACACGGACAAACATGAAGATGAGAACTGAACTGGTGTCGGTAGTTCCTGAACGCGGAAAACATGACACCAGCTGCAACCAGCATTTCTGCAATGACACAAGTGTTCCTCAAAAGGGACACAGCCAAAGGAGGATGACCACAGCCTGCAGAGCCGATGCTTGAAGAGCCGGTCCACCGATGTCCAAAAGGATGGCCGCTGTCCTCACTGACGCAGACTTCCACAATGAGAACTCATGAACTGCCTCCGCTTGCTCGACTGAACATTTCTTGTAGTTGACATTCTCGTTATGAACTTTGTCAGGTCTTTCCTCCACCAGGGTGGTTTGCTGATGACCAACGGTTAGTTTTGCGGGTTTACCCCAACACGAATTCAATAGATCTTTGTTCCCTTGTTGCATGTTCTCATGTTCCACTCCTCCCCTTCAGACCGCCCATCTCGGCTAAGGGCCGTGGAACTGTGCATCTTTCCGTTGACGACCCATCTCGCCAGAAACCCCACGGGCTTCTTGGCGATGGGAGGTTCGACCAAATCCGGCCTGGCATGGACGATCTGTCCATCTTCCCATTCAGATTCCAATCTGTCCAAGCCGGTTTACAACTGACATCAACTGACCTAGTGACCTTATGCATTTGTCATGGGAACTTCAGCCATTGACCAAATGATTCATCAGTGATTCATCAGATTCATTTTGCTGGGGGACCACCATTCTGGCCTGGTGGCAGACCAACGCTAGAGGATCATCAATGAGCTCCCATAGATGGTTTCAGAATGTCTGGCCACCGAGGTGATGATGACACGTCCTGAATGTGCGCACATGCCTAGATCATCATGTAGTACGGCACAGTACTGTATCAGAGAAGGGTAAATGCTACGTGCAACCACTGTGATTGAGCTTCTGACTAAATCAAGGGCATCAAACATCCCAAGAATCTCAAGTGAATCGATGACATGAGCCTGGTGTCCTTGAGATTTTGGATTCCACTACAAGCATGGTTGAGCGAGAAATACAGGCCCTTCTATATAATCGAAGCCCGCCGTTTAGCATCGAAACTGCCGAGAAAAGCTCGAACAGCTGGGGAAGTTGATTCTTTTTCTTCAACCGACAGCACTTTTGAGCATCTCCTACAGACCTGGAAGTGCCACGCCGATCACTTTGGCTTTACAAATCCACGGGCGTTTCACTCGTTGGTGCAAGTCTTTCCAGTCTCAGAATGTTTCTTTCGTGAAATTGGTGGAGCTCATGTTACTGAACTCGAGGTGATACGCCCTTGCAAAGTGCTGGTGGCAGCTGGAAGTTATTCGAAGACCGGAAAGGCAAACCAGGACAGGACCTGCTTCACTTGTTCATTGGCTTGGCATGCTTCGCTGGTTTGTGTTTGCCTCATAGCAAGGGCTCTCCTCCACCCCTGAGTGTCAGTTCGTAGTTTTGGGGGTGTAGAGGTCAGGCAGAAAGATTGCTCAGACCAGAAAAGTGCTTGCCATGTAGAGGCTCCAGGTTTGTCTCCCTGGAGTGCATTCGATCGAATTCCCGGAACGGACTCCATCCGACTACGCCGCACACCTTCCTTCGGAACGCCGGAACTCCTGGGGAAGACAGCTCAGAAAAGCCTCAAAATTAGCTCAGCTCGCCCGTTTTCAGATGGATTCATTTCAGTTCGCGGGAACTTGAGAGTTCGTTCCCTCTTTTTTCAGGTTTTGCGTCCAAAGACCCTCCGCTTGCCCGTTTGCTTTTGGGGCAACGTAGGCCCTGTTCTCCGCCTTGGGTGGGAGGATGGATCACCACGACCAAGAGCGAAGAATTGCTCTTCAATGTCACCTTCAGCACGGGCCCTCAGGGAGGTCCGGTTTTGGCATGGTGCATCGACTTGCGAATTGAAGCGGCTTTGAACCGAGAGTTCTGAATCGTTTGGCTAGATACACGTGAATCATTTGTAGTTAGTCTACAGCAGATGTAGTTATCTCCCAAAATTTGTCCCCAGATAGCTGGAAGCTATAGGGGTTCTTACTTCTCAATGGATGGGTTCCGGATTGCGGAAATTGGCTGCCGCTGCCAGCTTGTCTCCCAAGCTAGTCTCCCTTCCTGATTTCGCTCTTGGCTGCCGCTGCCGGCTTGTCTCCCAAGCTTGTCTCCCTTCATGACTTCGCTCTTGGCTGCCGCTGCCATCTTGTTTCTCCAGCTTGTCTCCCTTCATGA